TGACAGAGAGGAGAAGGTAGAAATGACTCAGCCTGGAACTGAAAATATGGATGGAGGACCTCAGATTAGCTTGTTAGTTTGTCGTGTAGCGCTGAGCTAATACATATATATGGTGGTGATAGTGTCAGGAATAATGCAAAAGCTAACAAGCTAAACTGAGGTCCTCCATCCATATTTTCAGTTCCAGGCTGAGTCATTTCTACCTTCTCCTCTCTGTCAACGCTCTCTGGTTTCATTTAAAAGAGTCGATGATCAGATATTGTCCAAGATTAACCTTCAGGGTGGATATAGCTCGCTCACACAGAGGACGCATCCACGTCATCATTTACCCAAAATGCTTTGTGTGTAAATAAAATGGCTCCATCCGTGTAATGTATTTTTAAACTTTTAGTTTAAAAATGATAAAAACTGAACATCCTACAGTATTTTTACAGTCTTTATTTTACAGTTAGAATATGTTTATTAAATAAAGTCTAATGTTACAACTAATCATGGATCCCTTTAAATCCTGCACGTATTATTTCTGTGGGTACCTGCGTTGCCGGTCCAAGACTTGGCGGTTTACAGCTCTCCAACGCTGACTCAGAGTATCTAACTTCTCCTCAAGCAGGGACCCGTCAGGCGATGAAAGCTTTCCAATTATCTGCTCTCCAGTGCGAGTCAGCCCAGCAAGAACAGGCTGATGACTGGCGAGGCCTTCTTCCAACTCCTGAAACACATTTTTTTAACAAAGACAACCATAAAAGAAGAGGTCAGAAACAAAACTGTGAAATCAAGGTTCAGTCGAACTGAATAATCTCATCCCATCCGGCCCAAATCCCCAGCTCAAGTGTTTTATCTCAAAGCAAATGTCTTCCACACATGGATGATTTGTAGCAAGTCCAGACTTAAGCTGCCAAATCTCCACCTTCCTCCTCCAGAGATTTAAGACGAACCCGTAAGGGTGAGTGATTGTATAGTCTGCGAAAACGATGAGTCAGCTAAGAGATCTCTCAATTCCCCTCCACCTGATCCCTCCTCTCATTCTCACTGAAACATGTGAAGAAGCCCGGCAGACAGGAGTGTGGCTCCAGGTTGGGAACTCATGAAGGTGTTAATAGCGGCGGTGTCGTCAGCGATAATGCAGCAGCTTTAGGGGATTTAATCCCGCAGGGAAATGGAATGCCACTTTAGTCATCAAACAGAGCAAAATTACATTCCTCTCTTTGTTGTTCTCTTGACTTGTCTTCAGGCCTGCTCTGCATAATAAACAGACTCATACTGTGTTTGTGGAACACATGTACAACTTATTTCCCCAGGAAAATAAAATGCTATTACAACATGTCAAGCTGATTATCTTTATTGTCTTTATTTCAAAAATATGTCAGTGTTTTGGGATTTTTATTTTGTTGCTTTGATGTTATAACCGCCTGCTGAGGTTTAGTTTCATTTACAGCGTTTCGTGACAAAAGTTGAGCTGCCAGCATAAAGGTTCCACATCTAGGCCTCACGATAAGCAAAAACTTAATTATTGATTTGATTTATTTATTTAACAGGAAAAGATTATTAAAATTCAAGCCTGACTCAGCATAATTGCTGTTTTACAGCAGGTTCCTGTTCTGCAGCACATAAAACACTCAGAATTACAGCATCACAATCACATCATTATACACCATAGACACAAAGACAAACAAGCGTACCAAATTTCTAAAAGGCAGCATTTGCAAAATAGGACGTCTAAATATGAGCACAACATAAAGTGTCCAGCAGATGGCAGACAAGATTCTTCTTAAAGGGCTGTAGTTT